ACAGGGATTTGTTTCAAAAATTGAGCACAACTTCTAATAAGTTTGGAGATGTGGTGAGCATTGGGACGATTTGGTCGTTATAATCGTTGGTTCCCTTCATTTAGTCAACACTTGAGGTTATGGTTCCGAGACTTTTCACACCTGTGTCTGGAAGGGGTCGGGAAAGGGATATCAAGTGTTGACAGGTTTTCACTATTTTCTGAATGTTTTGTTAACCTTTGATTGATTACAGATAATCACTGATTGTGTGGTCATTATTGGTCTCGAGATGAGGACTAAGAGGACTTTAATTCATTTGTAAGTATTTATTCAAACATTTGATTGAAATGAATGCAAACTCTTTGTTCATCACAATTATCACTCAAATGCGCAAAATATTTGAATTGAAATATTGATTAAAAACATTAATTATTTGTAAATTTGATAAAATTAATAAAATATTATTTAATAATTTTGGTGATATATACGATAATAAGTGTAATTAACAAAAGTCATGTTAATGAGAGAAATATAGTATTTATGTAATCTCTAAATGATTTAATGAACATAAAGTTGATACTGTATTAGTGTTGAAAATAAGTATTATATTCGCACTTGTAATAAAAAATGATTTATAATTAATAAAAAAATTACCTTTACCCGACTTTTATTCATAAGATTTCCAACAGATAATCTCTAGTCTCAGATTTTTGTACTACTTTTTGCAATAAATAGTTATATAACTACATTATATATCAATAATTGTCTCAATGTCTTAAAGTACTAAACTTGAGCTTAAGTTCTTAAGAAATTAATTTGAGAAATGGATTTATTTAAGTTTTTGATTATTTGCTTACTTATAGCAAATACTGTAATCATAGGCTATTCGTTTGATAATAATAAAGGTATTCATTTGCTGTAAATAACTTTTTACTGAAAAATATTTTAATTTGCCATTCAATTACAGAAACTGATTATGAATTTGACACCGATTCTGATTCATCGCACTATGAATTAGTTAATAGCTCATCTAGTACCACTGAAGATCCTACCACCATTATTAGCGATGATCCCATTAGTAGCTCAACCACTGAATTGCACACAAAGTCTGTGGTGTCGACCCCTATAACCACGGAATCAGTTGCAGTGACAATGACCTCAACCCTACCACCACCGTCGACCACTCCAGAGATAACAATTTCGGTGCCATTGTGTAATATTGATGGCAGATATGATGGCCAGTACGGTATTGAACACTGGCCACCCGTTCCCATCGGACGCCGTTCACGTGTTAAATGTCCTCACGAGGATTCGGGTCACGCCTACTGGAAATGTATGCAAAACGGACTGTTCTCGTCTCACGGCCCCAATTGGACTCATTGTGACTACTGGTTGGAGGAATTGGACAAAACAGACATCGATAGCGTGGACACTGCTATTGATGTGATCGAAACCATCACCAAAAAGACTTATAATAACAACACTATCGTTGAAAGCGAAAAGTTGTCCAAAGTTTTAGATATCGTATCGAAAGTGCAGTCGTTTGTGGAGAACGCAAACGACAGCAGTTTAGTGGTCGTCAAGAACTACACCCACGGAGTGATCAACACTTTTAGTCATATTCTGGACCAGAAGTACGCGTGGATTAACTCAACCTCTAAGGAGAAGACTAATCTCGCCTCAAAGATATTGCTCACCACTCAGTCATCCTCTTATACCCTATCATTACAGCAAAATAGGTCCACAAAATCGG